TCCACGAAAGGCCCCAGGGCCACCGCCCGCATGCGTCCCCCACATCCATTTCGGCACACCCCTCACACGTTTCGTGGCCCCATTGGGAGCTCCACCGAAGGTCCCAGTGCCACTGCCCGCATGTGTCCCTCACACCCATTTTGGCACACCCCTCACACGCTTCATGGCCCAATAGGGAGCTCCAACCAAGGTCCCGGTGCCACCGCCCGCATGCGTCACCCACGCCCATTCCGGCACACCACTCACGCGTCTCGTGCTGCACCGATGGCGTCTGTGCCACCGCCCGCATGCGTCACCCACACCCAATCCGGCACACCCTCACACGTCTCGTGGCCCCATGGTGAGCTTCAACGAAGGCCCTGGTGCCACCGCCCGCATGCGTCCCCCACGCACATTCCAGCACACCTTTCACGCGTTTTGTGGCCCCATAGGGAGCTCCACCAAAGGCGCCAATGGCTGCGTTCGCATGCACCCGCCGCACCCATTTCGGCACACCCATCACACGTTTCGTGGCCCCATAGGGAGCTCCACCGACTGCCCCAGTGGCTGCGTTCGCATGCGCCCACCGCACCCATTTCGGCACGCCTCTCACGGGTTTTGTGGCCCCATAGGGAATTTCACCGACGGCCCCAATGGCTGCGTTCGCATGCGCCCACCGGAAAGTTGTGGCACACTCCTCACACGTTGCGTGGCCTTATAGGGAGCTCCTCCGAATGCGGTGCATACAACGACGGTACTCACAACTGCATATGGTTGGGTCCTTCGCCAGGCTAATTTTAGTAACCTCGCCCCACCAGGGCCCGAAAGAGAACCTCTTGGAGCGCTCTTGGGACCTCTGGAGCCTCTGTGGACGTCTTATGGGCCTCTCTTGGGGCTCTCTCGGGCGATGTTGGGGCCATCTTGACGCATCGGAGGTCCCTCGGAAGCGACATGGCGAGACGGCGAGCATGATGGGTTTCCCTTCTGTCAAGCGGACGCTGGCCTCTCGGGGGTCTCCCTGGGGCGCTTAGGTTCCCCCCGCCCCCCTTCGGTTCCCGTTCTTCCTTTCTTCTCCATGTTGTCACCACCGTCGTCGCTGTTGTCGTCAAGATCGCCCCCAAGAACCCTCCCGGGATCTCGAGGCAGATCTAGCCGTGGCGACGAGGGCCCCCGGGAAGGCCCAAAAAGGGCGAAGCACGTCAGAGGAGGAGGAGTAGGAGGAGGAGGAGGAGGAGAAGGAGAAGGAGGAGGAGGAGGAGGACGGGGAGGAGGAGGAGGAGGAGGAGGAGGAGGAGGAAGACGAGGAGGAGGAGGAGGAGGAGGAGGAGCAGAAGGAGGATGAGGATGATGATGATGATGAGGAGGAGGAGGAGGAGAAGGAGGAGGAGGAAGAGGAAGAGGTTGTTCCAAACCATCCTGTGGTGTTGGGTCCTCGTTTTGAAGAGACAGCGCAACGGGTTCATTCCTCCTCCCGCTGCCCCATCCGTCCTCCCCCTCTTCCCTCCTCCCTCCTCCCCTCACTGCCTCTGCTCTCCGCATGCCCATCCCATTTCGGCAAGCCGCTTACACGTTTCATGGCCCCATGGGGAGCTCCACCTAAGGCACAAGTGGGAAAGTTCGCATGTCACAGCCGCCCCATCTCGGTACACTCCTCACACGCTTCGTGGCCCCATAGGAGGCTCCGCCGAAGGCCCCAGGGGGAAAGTTTGCATGGCACCGCCGCCCCATTTCGGCACACCCCTCGCACGACGCGTGGCCTCATAGGGACCTCTACCAAGGCCCAGGAGGGAAAGTTCGCATGGCAACGCCGCGCGATTTCGGCACACCCCTCACACGTTTCGTGGCACCATAGGGAGCTCCACGGAAGGCCCCAGGGCCACCGCCCGCATGCGTCCCCCACATCCATTTCGGCACACCCCTCACACGTTTCGTGGCCCCATTGGGAGCTCCACCGAAGGTCCCAGTGCCACTGCCCGCATGTGTCCCTCACACCCATTTTGGCACACCCCTCACACGCTTCATGGCCCAATAGGGAGCTCCAACCAAGGTCCCGGTGCCACCGCCCGCATGCGTCACCCACGCCCATTCCGGCACACCACTCACGCGTCTCGTGCTGCACCGATGGCGTCTGTGCCACCGCCCGCATGCGTCACCCACACCCAATCCGGCACACCCTCACACGTCTCGTGGCCCCATGGTGAGCTTCAACGAAGGCCCTGGTGCCACCGCCCGCATGCGTCCCCCACGCACATTCCAGCACACCTTTCACGCGTTTTGTGGCCCCATAGGGAGCTCCACCAAAGGCGCCAATGGCTGCGTTCGCATGCGCCCGCCGCACCCATTTCGGCACACCCATCACACGTTTCGTGGCCCCATAGGGAGCTCCACCGACTGCCCCAGTGGCTGCGTTCGCATGCGCCCACCGCACCCATTTCGGCACGCCTCTCACGGGTTTTGTGGCCCCATAGGGAATTTCACCGACGGCCCCAATGGCTGCGTTCGCATGCGCCCACCGGAAAGTTGTGGCACACTCCTCACACGTTGCGTGGCCTTATAGGGAGCTCCTCCGAATGCGGTGCATACAACGACGGTACTCACAACTGCATATGGTTGGGTCCTTCGCCAGGCTAATTTTAGTAACCTCGCCCCACCAGGGCCCGAAAGAGAACCTCTTGGAGCGCTCTTGGGACCTCTGGAGCCTCTGTGGACGTCTTATGGGCCTCTCTTGGGACTCTCTCGGGCGATGTTGGGGCCATCTTGACGCATCGGAGGTCCCTCGGAAGCGACATGGCGAGACGGCGAGCATGATGGGTTTCCCTTCTGTCAAGCGGACGCTGGCCTCTCGGGGGTCTCCCTGGGGCGCTTAGGTTCCCCCCGCCCCCCTTCGGTTCCCGTTCTTCCTTTCTTCTCCATGTTGTCACCACCGTCGTCGCTGTTGTCGTCAAGATCGCCCCCAAGAACCCTCCCGGGATCTCGAGGCAGATCTAGCCGTGGCGACGAGGGCCCCCGGGAAGGCCCAAAAAGGGCGAAGCACGTCAGAGGAGGAGGAGTAGGAGGAGGAGGAGGAGGAGGAGAAGGAGAAGGAGGAGGAGGAGGACGGGGAGGAGGAGGAGGAGGAGGAGGAGGAGGAGGAGGAGGACGAGGAGGAGGAGGAGGAGGAGGAGGAGCAGAAGGAGGATGAGGATGATGATGATGATGAGGAGGAGGAGGAGGAGAAGGAGGAGGAGGAAGAGGAAGAGGTTGTTCCAAACCATCCTGTGGTGTTGGGTCCTCGTTTTGAAGAGACAGCGCAACGGGTTCATTCCTCCTCCCGCTGCCCCATCCGTCCTCCCCCTCTTCCCTCCTCCCTCCTCCCCTCACTGCCTCTGCTCTCCGCATGCCCATCCCATTTCGGCAAGCCGCTTACACGTTTCATGGCCCCATGGGGAGCTCCACCTAAGGCACAAGTGGGAAAGTTCGCATGTCACAGCCGCCCCATCTCGGTACACTCCTCACACGCTTCGTGGCCCCATAGGAGGCTCCGCCGAAGGCCCCAGGGGGAAAGTTTGCATGGCACCGCCGCCCCATTTCGGCACACCCCTCGCACGACGCGTGGCCTCATAGGGACCTCTACCAAGGCCCAGGAGGGAAAGTTCGCATGGCAACGCCGCGCGATTTCGGCACACCCCTCACACGTTTCGTGGCACCATAGGGAGCTACAACGAAGGCCACAGTGGGAAAGTTCGCATGGCACCGCCGCCCCATTTCGGTACACACCTCACACGCTTCGTGGCCCCATAGGAAGCTCCGCCCAAGGCCCCAATGGGAAAGTTCGCATGGCACCGCCGTGGCATTTCGGCACACCATTCACACTTTCCGTGGCCCCATAGGGAGCTACACCTAAGGCCCCAGTGGGAAAGTTCGCATGGCACCGCCGCCCCATTTCGGCACGCCCCTCACACGTGTGGTGGTCCAGTAGGGAGCCCCACCGAAGGCCCCAGGGGAACAGTTCGCATGTCGCAGCCGCCCCATTTCGGCACACCCCTCACACGCTTCGTGGCCCCATAGGGAGCTACACCGAAGGCCCCAGTGGGAAAGTTCGCATGGCACCGCCGCCCCACTTCGGCACACACCTCACACGCTTCGTGGTCCCATAGGGTGCTGGCCCAAAGGCCCCGGTGGGAAAGTTCGCATGGCACCGCCGCCCGATTTCGGCACACCCTCACACGCTTCGTGGCACCATTGGGAGCTCCACCGAAGGCCACAGTGGGAAAGTTCGCATGGCACCGCCGCCCCATTTCGGCACACCCCTCACACGCTTCGTGGTCCCATACGGAGCCCCACCTAAAGCCCCTGTGGGAAAGTTCTCATGGCACCGCCACCCCATTTCGGCACACCCCTCACACGCTTCGTGGCACCATAGAGAGCTACACCGAAGGCCCCAGTGGGCAAGTTTGCATGGCACCGCCGCCCCATTTCGGCACACATCTCACACGCTTCGTGGCCCCATAGGGAGCTCCACCGAAGGCCCCTGTGGGAAAGTTCGCATGGCACCGCCGCCCCATTCTGGCACACCCCTCACAAGCTTCGCAGCCCCATAGGGAGCTCCGCCGGACCCTGTGGGCAAGTTCGCATGGCACCGCCGCCCCACTTCGGCACACCCCTCACACGTTTCGTGGTCCCATGGCACCGCCGCCCCATTTCGGCACACCCCTCGCACGATGCGTGGCCCCAAAGGGAGCTGGCCCGAAGGCCCCTGTGGGAAAGTTCGCATGGCACCGCCGCCCAGTTTCGGCACACCCCTCACACGTTTCGTAGCCCCAAAGGGAGCTCCACGGAAGGCCCCAATGGCGAGGTTCGCAGGCGTCTTCCCAGTCGGCACACCCTTCACACGTTGCGTGGCAGCAGGCTATACCGCGTGCGCTACTCGGAGTTTTCGCGCCCCCCTCCTTCGTCTCATCTCCCTCGCGGCACTCGCAGCTGCATATGGCTGGGTCCCTCGTCAGGCTAATTTTCTTCCTCCCCTCGTCGCCGCCCCCGAGGACGCTGCCGCCGACGAGGCGCCGCCGGCAGCGGAAGCCGAGGGAGGGGCGTCGGCGGAGGAGGCCGTGGTGGAGGACCTTCTGCTGAGGCACGCCGCGCAGCCTTGAGAGGCGCACGCTGTACAGTCGAGACGCCGAAGTAAGGACCGGCTTGGGCTCAGGAGGGGCTCCAGCTTTCGGGCCCTCTTCTTCGGTCTGGATCGGGGAACCCCTTCGTGGCCGAGGCTCGCCGTGGCGCCTTGGCTCCGTGCGCGGCGCTCCTGGTGGTATCACGACGATTGCATGGAATTGCCCAGACATCCGGTGTCTCGATTTTTTCGGGACACGGGCCCCCGACCTTTCGACCACTTCCCCGGGATTGGCTTTTCACCCCGAGTCGTTGCTTGACGGTCCCAGGGCCCGGTAAGGGCTCCGAGAGTCCGAAAAAATGATAGTAATCTTGCGCCTCGATGTTTGAGACTCCCGATATCTGGGCAACGCCTGCGAGAGAAGCGCGCGCGACATACAGCGACCTGAAGCAAGCATTCCGCTGCGGCCAGCCCTAGCCGACGCCAAACGGACGCCCAGACCTGCCACCATTGGAGGTGTTTCTCCCAGTGGCCTCCAGGACGAGGAGCGGGAGGGCCCTCTGTTCGAGCTTGAAGCCGTCTGGGGGTCGAAGGTCACCCATCATTGGTTCCTGCCGGCAGGAAGAGCGGGCAGGTTCGAGATTATGGATTCGGGAAGGCGGTTTGCCTTTTTCGGCCTCCAGGGGCCGTTGTCGGGCCCTGGGGCCGTGAAACATGGATATTGTTTTTAAAGAACTGCACCAGGTGGATGCCAGGAGGGGTCCAGAGACCGATTTCGAGCGGATGTGGTTTCATCCCCCCCTTGACCGCTTTTCTGAGGTCCCCATCAGTTCAGACCCCCGAGCCACCTCCAAGCAGGAGGGCCATCCGTTAGAGCATCTCTTGCCAAGCGACAGGGGATGCCATATCATTACGACGCTATTTGAGACAATGTTATATGGGGCGGAAAGGGCCCCGGCTTCGAGGCTCGAAGGAGCTGCCATCCCTTCCTCGGCGGAAGGCCGGCGGAAGGCTGGCGGAAGCGAAACGAAACCGCCTCCACTGGCGGGAAGGTTGGCGGAAGCTGGCGGAAGCAAGCAAGCGTTCCCAAGAGATGGCATCGTTTTTGGGTTCAGGGCTTCCGGAATCGACCATACTCTTAGAAGGAAAAGCGCCTGTTTATAAATTTGCGGCCGCTTCGCGCGGAGCGCCAACAAGTTTATGTGTACGCCGTTGTTTTTCTACATATGTTCTATCATCGCATCATGTACACAGCGAAAGCTTAAAATGCTAGTACAAGTTATCGTGAAAATGAGTTCATCTAGTATGCTTGCATGGCAGCGGAGCGACGTGACTCTGGCAGCACACCCAGCAGCGGCAGTGGTTTCAGCGACGAAGCCTGCGACGATAGCGGAGAAGGAGCAGCACACAGCACCGCACAGTAGCGAGTTCTTCACCAATTGCCATGCAGATTTCAGCAACCACAAGTTCGAATGTGCAACCGCCTTGGCGATTTTAGCCCCAAGCTGATGGAGGAGTTCGTGCAGGTGGGGTTGCCTACAGCTGCAGCGGGCCAGAAGTTGAACGTCAGCCCCACCGAGGCGTTCACCAGAATGCAGCATTGAGCAAGACAAGCGCGGCATTGTTAAACGAGCAGTGCAGGTTTGAACATTATGAGAAGCAGACGCGCGCATGAGTATACAGAAGTTGTATCACGTGGACAGCGTTAAAGCGAAAGTGGCAGAGATCAATAATTCCATAAGTTCGCAGTCACCCACAGATGAGGTTATGCAAAGGCTGGCGGAAGCCGTTAGTAGAGGAACCAGTAAGATGCAGCAGAGAGGACACACATTGGATAGCGAAAGCAAAGATATTCAGCATTTGAAGAAGTCCGCGGGTGACAGGAGCAAATGCAGGGGGTGGAGTGGCAAGTTCCTTGAAGCGCTCGCGCGAACTAGCCACAGTAATCGCGAGGCCCCCAAGAATCCCGACAACAAGTTAGAGACCACGGACGGAGCCACACGGGAGACGGATGATAGCGTTAAGTAGAAAGCCCGCGCATGCAGAATATCAGCAAGCAGTGGCCGAGGTTTAAAAGGAAGACGACGACGAGGACGAGTACGAGATCATTAATCGCAGCATTTGTGGTTTAGACGACGGCTTTTTGGTAGGTCTGTAAGGATAATTTGGAAGGTGTTGGGCCGAAAGGGAAGTTGAACGGATTGCGCGAGGGCGCAGGTTTACTGGCGTACCAAAAGATGTTGCAAATATTTAGTTCTCACCAGATTTGTCCTGTCGGCCAAGATGGGTTCGACCGTGAATTCAAGCAGACCCAGTCAGAAGAGGGGAGTGCCCTGGTAGAGAGCCTGTACCGTTCAGGGTTGCCGCACTGCGTGTTCTAGAGACGCGTGCTGGCGATTGGTTCGAAGGGTGGCACTAAGGCTGTTTCAAAACCCCAAACAGTCGATGCGAAGGTGGGGAAACTGTGGGACGCCGACACGGAAAAATTAGCGCCATGGAGATCGGCAACGTTCGTGAAATTTAGAAGGGGATTGGAAAAGGCGCATGATGGGGCGAAGAAGGCTACGTCGATATTGTTAGCCAGACGGCGGCAACTGGGAGACCAACTTAAGCGGAGACATCGACATCGTTGGCAGAAGAAAAGGAAAAGGCGAACCCAGTGCTACAAGTGCGGGCAATGCGAACGCATTACACGCAAAGAAAAGTTTCCAGGTTACGGATGACGCCAAGTAATGTGTGGGGCGCACGTGAAGGGCAAGAGCTACGGCAAGTTGAAAACCGAGGAGGTCAAGGAGCAGGAAGTTGGGGCACATGAGGCTTCGCCCCGACATCTGAATGAGCACGTGGAAAGAAGGGGCCCGCACACTGCAGTTAGCTTCACCAGCATGGAAGCTGACAGCCGAGGAGTACGCGAAGTTGAAGGACAAGGAGCGGCCTCAAGTCCTTCGAGCATTTCGCTCGGTCAACCACTGGGCCCATCGACGACAGCAGACAGGAGCGCACAGGAAGGCGCAGACAGCCTACGCACCATGATCGGGGGAAATCCAGCAGCAAGGTAAAGGTAAACCCAACGCAGTCCCATGGTCAGTTTCCCCGTGCGAGGGATGTGAGCACGAGAGGAGATGCATCGCCAGATGCGTTAAACATGATGGCCAGCGTAGACCCCGGTCTGCGCGATATTGTCTGCGCTGCTGGGTGGAAAGAGATGCAGAGTAAGCTCTGTGATGTTAGCTATGTTGTGTTGATTCCGCAGGGTAAGCTATGTGGTGATAGCTCTGTTGCGGGAGCTGTGTCGTGCGAGCTGCATGGTGCTAGCGCTGTTGCATAAGTTATGTGACGTGAGCTATGTTGCGCAAGCTATGCGGCGGGACCTATGAGGCGTGAGCTGGAGCGCATCGAATGCGCGGCGCAAGCTCTGCGGCGCGAGCTGCATTGCGTAGCCTGCCTTCTCCGCCCAGGGCACGGGGTGCCCGCGAGCGCCCAGGAGGCCCCCGCGGGCGGGTGCCAGGCGCAACCTCGGCGGATCCACCCCGGGGCACGGCGCGCCCGCGAGCACCCGCGGGGCGCCCGCGGGCGGACGCGGGGCGCCCGCAAGACGAGCCCTCGGCGGAGCAGCGGACGGCACCCGGCGCCACCGGGCGTTCGCGAGGCGCCCGCGGGCGGGCACGGAGCGCCAGCGAGGCGAGGTTTCGGCGGACCCACCCGGGGCACGGGGCGCCCGCGAGGCGCTCGCGGGGCGGGCGCGGGGCGCCAACGTGAAGAGTCCACGGGTGGAGCCGCCCAGCGGCTGAAGCAGAAGGGGTATGAGTCCCCTCAGTGCAAGCACTGCTCGGGAGGGATGGCCAGAGAAGGGCGCCGAGTCAAGCTTAGATGAGGTCGGCCGTGGAACTGGCAAGGTAGATGCAAGACTTGATGAAGATCACAAGCTAGGCAGCGGCGTGGTCGCGGTTACCCGGGGCTCAGAAGCGCGCGGCACCGCGACGCCACCCACCATGGGCACATACTTCCCAGGTCATCCCACGAAAGTCGCCGAGGCGGGCAAGCACTACAGCGCAGCCAACGGGCCAACTGTAAAGGATTGCGGAGGAAGAGTGACGCCCGGGAGGGAAGAACGGACGAACAAGGAGCCTAAGTTATCGCGCCCGGCCAGGTTGGTGTAATAGAAGTGTCAGGGCCAGATCGAAAAATTGTCTAAGCTGGAAGCAGAATAGCGTCGGATCGAGACAGCAAAAGGACGATCGCGCAATTGCGTGGGTCAGAAGGTGTCAGGGCACAAGGCGGGCATCCACGAGAGGAACGGGGCGCGCCAGTTGAATCGCCAATTGCCGAAATAAGATAAATGGCCAACGGGCGAACAACAGGTGCAATTGGTTAACCAAGGAAAGGGTCTCCGATGCAGGGGGCCCTAACGGATGCCTTATTCGACTAGGTCTTGGCCAAAGCGCAAGCCCCACTGCAATTCCAGTACAAAATGGCACGGTGGGCCAGGGAGTTCAGCGGAAGGGGGGGCGAGTTGGCACGAGGTTAGTGGAGTTGTTTTGAATATTCAATCGCTTCGCTCATTCCGCCAGCCCATATTGTAGCATCGCTGGCACTTGCTTGCGTGCTTGGGGGGGCATTGGGGGGGCCTCCTGGGGCCGCGTGGGGGCCTCTTGGGGGCCTCCTGAAGGCCTCGTGGGGGCATCTTAGGGCCTCTTGGGGGCCTCTTGGGAGCCTTTCGGGGGCCTCTTGGACGCTCGTGGGGGCCTCTCTGGGCCGAGGGCTCGAAATATCCGTGCGGGTCTCCCGTCTGGACCCCTCTTGGAGCCGTCTTGGGGGCCTCTTGGGCTGTTTTGGAGGCCTCTTGGGTCGTCTTGGGGCCCTCTGGGGCGGTTTTGGGGCCCTCTTGGGGGCCTCGTGGGCCGTCTTTGGGCGATAGTGGGGGCCTCTTGGGCCGCTTTTGACGTTATGAAAGCTCAAGTGGCGAATATGCTAAGAATACACAGTTTGCTTAAGGAATGGGACGATGTTTGCCTCTTGGGGCCCCCTTGGGACGCCTCTTGTGGGCCTATCGGGGCGTCTGGGAGCCATCTTGGGGGGCTCTTGGCGGCCTCGCGGCCCTTCTTGGGGCTCTCTGTAGGGCCTCGAGGGCGGCGCCCAGACGGAAAACCATCTCTGGCCCGAACGTCCCGGGACCGTCCCGGGGTACTTATCGTCGGGGGACCCCTAGGGGCAGCCCCGCGCGCGCGAAGTAGAAATATTGTTAACCAGGTACCAGAGATCTTAGCACTCCTTGGCACGAGGTTAGCGGAGTTGTTTTGAATATTACACAACAGCTCACGCAGTTCCAATGTTAAGTCGGGCCTGTCCCTCTACAGGAGGAATATTCAAAAATAAACAAAGACTTGTAGGGGGCTATGTTTTTTTCCCAACCATCCTGTGGTGTTGGGTCCTCGTTTTGAAGAGACGGTGCCCCGCGTCTCCTCCTCTCCTCCTCCTCCCCCTCCTCCTCCCTCCTCCCCCTCTTCCCTGCGTTTCACCCACCCAGTACAGCGTTTCGTAGCCCCATAGGAGCTCCACCGAAGGCCCCAGTACCCGCGCCCGCATGCGTCACCCACACCCAATTCGGCACACCCCTCACACGTTCGTGGCTCCATAGGGAGCTCCACCGAAGGCCCCAGTGCCCGCGCCCGCATGCGTCACCCACACCCATTTCGGCACACCCCTCACACGTTTCGTGGCTCCATAGGGAGCTCCACCGAAGGCCCCAGTGCCCGCGCCCGCATGCGTCACCCACACCCATTTCGGCACACCCCTCACACGTTTCGTGGCTCCATAGGGAGCTCCACCGAAGGCCCCAGTGCCCGCGCCGCATGCGTCACCCACACCCATTTCGGCACACCCCTCACACGTTTCGTGGCTCCATAGGGAGCTCCACCGAAGGCCCCAGTGCCCGCGGCCGCATGCGTCACCCACACCCATTTCGGCACACCCCTCACACGTTTCGTGGCTCCATAGGGAGCTCCACCGAAGGCCCCAGTGCCCGCGCCGCATGCGTCACCCACACCCATTTCGGCACACCCCTCACACGTTTCGTGGCTCCATAGGGAGCTCCACCGAAGGCCCCAGTGCCCGCGCCCGCATGCGTCACCCACACCCATTTCGGCACACCCCTCACACGTTTCGTGGCTCCATAGGGAGCTCCACCGAAGGCCCCAGTGCCCGCGCCCGCATGCGTCACCCACACCCATTTCGGCACACCCCTCACACGTGGCTCCATCTTGCCCGCGCCCGCATGCGTCAGGGCACACCCCTCACACGCGTGGCTCCATAGGGAGCTCCACCGAAGGCCCCAGTGCCCGCGCCCGCATGCGTCACCCACACCCATTTCGGCACACCCCTCACACGTTTCGTGGCTTCATAGGGAGCTCCACCGAAGGCCCCAGTGCCCGCGCCCGCATGCGCCACCCACACCCATTTCGGCACACCCCTCACACGCTTCATGGCTCCATAGGGAGCTCCACCGAAGGCCCCAGTGCCCGCGCCCGCATGCGTCAGCCACACCCATTCCGGCACACCCCTCACACGCTTCGTGGCCCGATAGGGAGCTCCACCGAAGGCCCCAGTGCCCGCGCCCGCATGCGTCAGCCACACCCATTTCGGCACGCCCCTCACGCGTTCCGTGGCCCCCTAGGGAGCTCCGCCGAAGGTCCCAGTGGGTGTGCCCGCATGCGTCTCGCACACCCATTTCGGCACACCCCTCACACGTTTCTTGGCCCCATAGAGAGCCCCACCGAAGGCCCCAGTGGGTGTGCCCGCACGCCCATTTCGGCACACCCCTCGTACGTTTCGTGGCCCCGTAGGGGGCTCCACCGAGAAGATATTCACAATTGCAGTATTCACAATTGCATATGGTTGGGTCCTTCGCCAGGATAATTGTTTTGTTTGATTTTTACACAGTTTTTGACTATGTTTGATACTTCGTCCAAAATCCGCCTGTAGTGGGGACGTGCCCGGCCGTATTCCAATGTGCAACCGGCATTGCACAGCACCATGTACTTACCGCATCGTTGCCGTTGGAGGCAAGGCGCGAGAGGCAGAGCACACGAAGAAATCAGTGTCTTTGGAAGTCGCGCGCCTGTGAGTTATACCGGTCTTATGCGGCTAACAGGTAGCATTGGGGATGGAGACGAGGAAGGCGAAGGTAATCCACGATTGGTTGCGCAGATGGTGATCGTTTTTCCCAACTATCCTGTGGTGTTGGGTCCTCGTTTGGAAGAAACGGTCCCCGCGTTCTCCTCCCTTCCTCCTTGCTTCCTTCCTTCCTCCTCCTCCCTCCTCCTCCCGCTCCTCCCTCATTTCGTGGCCCCACAGAGGGCTCAACCGAAGGCCCCAGTGGGACCGCCCGCATGCGTCATCCACCACCCAGCACAAGATTTCGTGGTTCCAAAAGGAGCTCCACCGAAGGCTGCAGTTGGACCGCCCGCATGCGTCATCCACCACCCAGTACAGCGTTTCGTGGCCCCATATGGCCCCATAGGGAGCTCCACCGAAGGCCCCATAGGGACCGCCCGCATGCGTCATCCACCACCCAGCATAGCGTTTCGTGGCCCCCTAAGGAGCTCCACCGAAGGCTCCAGTGGGACCGCCCGCATGCGTCATCCACCACCCAGCACAGCGCATCGTGGCCCCACAGAGGGCTCAACCGAAGGCCCCAGTGGGACCGCCCGCATGCGTCATCCACCACCCAGCACAAGATTTCGTGGTTCCAGAAGGAGCTCCACGGAAGGCTCCAGTGGGACCGCCCGCATGCGTCATCCACCACCCAGTACAGCGTTTCGTGACCCCATAGGGAGCTCCACCGAAAGCCCCAGTGGGGCCTCCCACATGCGTCATCCACCACTCAACACAGGATTTCGTGGCTCCGTGGGGGAGCTCCACAGAAGGCCCCCGTGGGACCGCCCGCATGCGTCATCCACCACCCAGCACAGCGTTTCGTGGCCCCCTAAGGGGCTCCACCGAATGCCCCAGTGGGACCGCCCGCATGCGTCATCCACCACGCAGTACAGCGTTTCGTGGCCCCATAGGGGGCCCCACCGAAGGCCCCAGTGGGACCGCCCGCATGCGTCATCCACCACCCAGTACAGGATTTCGTGGCCCCACAGGGAGCTCCACCTCAGGTCTCCGTGGCGGAACTCGCATGGCGGCCCAGTGGCGGAGTTCGCATGGCGGCGACTTTCGATTTCCGGAGGTTGTTCGTCGTACTCGACGTATTGAGGCCGTTTTCGGGCCGCGCATCCCGGGCGGGAGCTAGCCTGCTCGCTCTCTTTGCTCCGCGCAGCGGACGACTCGCGCGCGTCGCCGGGACCCCTTCGGGGCGACCGGCGCGCGTCGCGGGGACTCCGCGCGGCGCCGCGCCCGCAGCCTTGGACGTGGGCGTGCACGGGCAGAGAGGGAGAAGAAGAACGGGAAGGAAACGGGCGCGATCATCGTGAGAGGCGCGCCGACATGGGCGTCGACACTTATGCACGTAGACTCACGCGCGCGCAGACTCATCGACAATCAGACTCACTCGCTCTCAATCTCTCGCACACAGACCTATCGTCTTCGCTCGCGTTGTGTGCCCCGCCAAGCATGTCGGCACGCCCATCACGCGGTTCTTGGCCCCATAGGGAGCGCGGGCGAAGATGATCTTCATAATTGCGGTATTCACACCTGCATAATTGCGGACGATCACGGACGCTGCCGCATCCGTGATCGTCCGTCGCCGTCGTCTCCGAGGACGCGCCGGCCGACGAGGCGCCAGCGACGGCGGAGGCAGCCGCGGCGGAGGCACCCGCGTCCGAGGGCGCTTCGCCGCCAGCCGAGGAGGCCCTTGGGGAGGGGGCGGCCCCCGAGGAGGCGCCTGCGAAGGACGCCGCGGATGCCTGCGCCGGTCGTCGCCGCCGCCATCGTCGCCGTCGTCGCCGCCGTCGCCGTTGTCGGTGGCGTCGGTTGCGTCGGCATCGTGGGCCGACTTGGGGCCCTCTTGGGGCGCTCCGGGGCCGTCTTGGAGGCCATCTTGAGCGTCTTGGAGGCCATCGTGGGCGTCTTGGAGGCCTCTTGGGCCGTCTTCGGGCCCTCTTGGGGCCGTCGTGGGAGCCTCTTGGGCCGTCATGGGGCCATCTTGGAGGCCTCTGGGTCGATCTTGGGGGCCTCTTGGGCCGTCTTGGGCCGTCGGAAAGCCGAAAAGGCGCAAATGCCGAAATCTTTCAAAAACCCAAACGAAATCAACGATGTTGGCCTCTTCGGGCCTTCCTGGAGGACCTCTTGGAGGCTTCTTGGGCTGTCTTGGAAGCCTCTTGAGGGCCTCTTGGGCCATCTTGAGGCTATCTTAGGCCGTCTAAGCCATCTTGGAGCCGTCTGGAACGGAAAAACCCTTTGCAACCAACTCTGGAAGATCTTTCGGCATCCTCCCGGGACCCCGGCGGGACGCGCTGGAGCCCATTGGGAGAGTTCTTTTGGAAAAGAACCAAAACCAAAACCGTAAGAAGTCCAGAACGCCAGGCACCCCTTTGCTAAAGCAAAAGGGGGCGGCTGATCTAGGGGCCTTCGGCACATCCCGCCACCATGCCTTGGTTGTGGGTGTGAAGCCTAGTGGATGTTCGGTGCCTTTTGGAGGCAAATTGGCGGCCTCTTGAGGGTGGTTTTGGGGTCTCTTAGGGGTTTATTTTGGGCCTTTCGGGGGCCTCTCGGGGGCTCTTGGGGCCTCTTGGGGGCCTCTTGGGGGCCTCTCGGGGCCCCCTGGGCGCTTCTGTGGGGCCCCTCTTGGGGCGGAGGCTCGATTGTCGGTTCGTGTTCTCTCTCTCTTGGGCCCCTTTTGGAGCCGTCTCGGGCGCCTCTTGGGCTGTCTCGCGGCGCTCGTGGGCCGTCTTGGGTTCTTCTTGGAGACCTCTTGGGCCGTTTCGGGTTGGTCTTTTGGGCCTCTTGGGCCGTCTTGGAGCGTCGGAAAGCTGAAAAGGCGAGAACACCTCTTGGGAGACCTCTTGGAGTGGGGCGTCTCGGAGGCCTCTTGGGCCATCTTGAGGCCATCTTGGGCGTCTTGGAACGATCTTTCGGAGACCCGGGGCCCTCTTGGACAGTTTTGGGGGCCTGTCGGGGCCCCCCCGGCCCTATATGCGACACCATTTCCCGGAGCCCGGGCGGCATGCGGGAAGCCTCGGGAGATGCGGCAATTTCGGCTCCGGGCCCCTTCGAGACTCTCAGGACTGAGGGCTGGGGCTCCAGGTATTAGGGAAACGACGCGAAGACACCCCCACTCCGTGCCCAGAGGCACGGTGGCAGATATGCGCAGCCCCCTGGGGATCTCATGCAGCGCCAGTTTAGATTCTGGGGGAAACTTTGGACTGCCAATGCCAGCAAGCGCCAAGCCCTCTGCGACGCTTTCGACAATTACCCTCAGGCCCCTTACTTTGGAAGCCGTCCAGAATTGGAGCCCTTGGCCGCAGAAGACACGACTCGCGGTGCTTCTATTCGTTCTAAAACTACGGCTGTTGACGTTGATGATTGATCCCCCCGCGTTTTTTTTTATCTTGATGGCCAATGTGGTTTGGGCGCAGATTTCCAACTGTAGTAGACAGGCCTCGCCGTGACCTTTCCGAACCCTGTCGGGGTTTATCGCTCTTCCCCCCAAGACCCATGAATCTGAGAGGCCCAAGTGCAAGTGTCCTACTTCGTACCGGCTGTATTGCCGCATGAGGAGACATAACTGCGTCCGCTGGAATGTTCGGCACCTTGCCTTTTAGGATGACGCTGTCCGTGGCAGCAGTGTCCTTCAGGCTGCCCTCTTGCGCGAAATCGTACCTAAGGTCGCTATGTGTCTTGGGGGGTACTTTGCTGCCCTCCACTGGGACCTCGCCAGGTATTTTGATCATGTCAGCACTGCCCCTTGAGTTTCGTTGAGAGAGAGTGTTGGTGCCTTTCCCATCTGCTCCACGTCGGTTTGTTGGTTCACACTGCCCCCCGCGCCGTAGAGCTGTCTGGGTACACCTCTGATGTGATTCATTCGGGATTGGGTAACCTTGAGGGCTGCACCCAGTCCATGTCTTGTTTCAGGATGGACCTGTACGATTAGATTTGGAATGCCCAACCTAGCTATAGGCGTGTTAACGTCCGTTCGTACGTTGATGATGTTTCCCAGGCCCTGCAAGGAGTGACCGCAAGGAGTGACCGCCGAAGACATTTGCAAGTTCCTCGTTCTTGCTAGCATCGAATGATGCCATGAGCTTGAAGGTCTCGAGTGCGAGATTGCTAAGTCTGGATGTATTGCATCTCACGCTTCGCTCCGCGATGCCCTTGCTGCTAGATCCGAGGCTGCCGCCGTCCCCGTCCTCCCCTTCCTTGCTGTCAGGGGCCTTGGCACCATGACTACTACTTGTCGTGGGCGTCGCGCTGCTAAGGTCCTTGCTCGTAGGACGTTGACGTAGAAGCAGACCAGGAAAGTCCACTACCTGAGTAAACTTGTGGGGAGGGCCTCGAAGCTGCACAGACCGGGGTCCTGGCGGTCGGATCGCGGGGGCACCGTGCCCTGGTCCTCTCCCCTGCCCAAGTACAATTGATGCGCGCCCAAGCTGCGTTGCGCTCTGTGTGGCGGGCGGCGGGGGCTTGCACCACCACTTTCTTATCCCTGGCTTCCGCCCCTAAGTAAGACCCTTAGGTTCGCCTCCGTCATGAGGAAGTGATGTCCTTCAGGAGGGGAAAAACACACAGACACAATGGATCGACGATCCCCAGGGAAATATGAGAAAACGTGCGGGATCCTGGGATTTGTGTTTATTCATCTGTGTGTCCCAGGGCCTCTTCAGTCCCCTTCGCACAGATGGAGGGACCTCGGCCACAGGCAGAGAGGCACGGTGCCGGCCACGCCGGTTGAAGCTTGCTGCTCTCCCTTTTTCCTTCCACCCCTGGCGAGCTGCCACCGGAGACGGGTCGAGGGCCCCTCTTGGGCCCCCAAACGGGGTGGCGACCGCACCGTGTGGTGAGTCGGTGGGGATTCGGGGTCACCGCACGGTTTTGCGACTCGGGTCGTTCTGCAGGACGTCTCGGGCGACTGGGGCATCCGAGGTCCCAAAGCCGTGCGTTGACGGACCGTGCGTTGAGGTCTTAGGGGATGTTGAGGTCACCGCACGGTCTGTCACCGCACCGTTTCGGGATTCCAAAGCCCCACCGTTGCCACGATTGCGGCGCTTTCCGACTTGTCTCGCGAGCCATGCTCGCCTGTCTTTTGGAAAGGATGCGGAGAAGACCCCGCGGACATCCGCAGCACCGATGAAGTTGTCCCTATGCATGTTGGATCGCTCTTCCCGAGCGTTGCCGAACAAATTCTGGGGGCCGCGCTTCGGATCATGATTCAGGGGAGGGTGCGCAGGAGGGCATGGATTTCTCGGTGGCCCAGGGGGCCCTCGAGAAAATGAGTCGCAATGGTGAAGCTGAGTCTGCCAGCGCGGTTCGCAACGTAGCTTCTGGAATTTTTTGGGGGGGCCGAAGGCCGACTCGTCGGCGCCAGGCGCCCTTCGACGACCGGAGGCCTGCGCCGTGGGTGCGGAGCCGCTAAGGAGACCTCGATGCACCGCTCTTGGCGGTGCCAGAGCAACGCGGAGGTCCCAGATCAGATCGTTGCCCAGCCTGGTAAGTGTAAAGAGCGCGCTGAGAATGAACAGCGCTTGAGTTGCCTCTGGCTCAGAGGGCCGATGCCCCCCCGCACACACACAATCACACACACACGCACGCATGGACGCACGCACGCACGCACGCACGCACGCACGCACGCACACACACACACACACACACACACACACACACACACACACACGCACGCACACACGCACAAAGCACGCACACACACACACACACACACACACACACACACACACACACGCACACGCACACGCACGCACACACACACACACACACAGACACACACACACACACACACACACACACACACGCACACGCTACCTCGCCCCGCCCTCCCCCTCCCAAAGACTCGGTTTGGACCAGGGGCCGACGTCGAGTTGAGGCCGAGGTCCCCGCGGGGGCCTGGGGGACAGGCGGTTCTGGGGGCGAGCGCGCGAAGGACGGGGGGCTGAGGAGGCGCGGATGGTCCACGTGCCGACGCGGGCCCGACGGCCGCCTCGATTCACCTCCTCCTCCTCCTCCTCGCTTCCTCCTCCTCCTCCTCCTCCTCCTCCTCCTCCTCCTCCTCCTCCTCCTCCTCCTCCTCCTCCTCCTCCTCCTCCTCCTCCTCCCCCCCCACGATGAAGCAGAAGCTCTCCCAGGGCTGAACTCTCCATGCTGCCGTACAGCGGCTCGAGTGCTCCTCTGGCGGCACAGTGGTTCCCCAGGCAGTGCTTAGACTGAAGGGGGTCCCAGCGGACATAGAGGAGATTGTGGAAAGCAGCTGGCCTATTTCGGTGGGCGGCTCTCGGTGGGCGGCTTTCGGTAAGCGCCCCCCTCAAGAGATTGGCGAAAGTAGCTGGCCGATTTCGGTGGGCGGCTGTCGGTGGGCGCCCCCTCTCCTTCTCTAGTTTTCTCTCCTGCTGATGCTGATATTTTTCTGGGTCGTTGTGGGGATGTGTTGTGGCGTTGTGGCCTTCTTGAGTCGTCGAGGGGCCTTCTCAGGCCGTCGAGGGTACCTCTGGAGGCCCGCCTGGGTCATCTTAGGCCCCTCGTGCGCCGTCCTGGGGCAATATGGGAGACCTCCTAGGCCATTTTGAGCCGACGGACGCCCGAAATGGCGAGGATGCCACAACCCTTCCAACACGCAATGGCAATCATAGAGTTAGCCTCTTGGGGTCCTCTTGCGAAGCTGCGGCCGGGCATGGTGCTTGCAAAACTTTCGGACCATCCAATGATTGGGGTCTTTCTCCGGTGTAATGTATTCCGACTGTCTGATGGTGGCCAAGCGTTCCTGGCGCCCCTTGGGTGCATTGCAGGAGGGCTTCCATGTTTGATATGTGGGTCCGTGCCCACGAGCCCTTTTGCCCACTGGTCTGGCACGATTGAGCTCTTGTGGACCAAGGTTCGCCCCGCCTAGTCCCAGATTTATGTACCCTTAGTTTGTAAAGCCTAGCGAGTTGTGTTTGACTCGTGCTGCTACCTACTTTGCTGGTAGAGGCCCTGTCGCGCAAGCCATCCCCCTGACCTTGCCAAGGTCATCCATGATGCGGACGAGTTGGCGTCCCAAGGCGCCCGTAGGTTGCATGCCATCCAGCGTGAAGTTTTGTTTTCGCCCCACCGCCCTCAACCCAAACGCGTCGGGCTCCCTTTCTCGGCATAAGAGGGGCGGGGCGAGAACGGTGGATATTCGTTACAATAGGCTCACTGCTAGTGGGCATGACCCGCGGGTGACAACCTATGTTTTCTGGTGCTATAGGTGCACCTGTTGTTTTCCTTGGGGCGGGCCTGTGTCTGATTCCTGGCCCTGTCGGTGTCATCCTCGGGGATAGTCTGGACCTTTTACCCGCCCCACTGCCGATGACCTTCGTCCTAATCGTGTGGATCCGCCCCTGGCTGTTGGGGGCGTTTGTGGACCCCCCAGGGCTGTCGACTACGTCCGTCACACGCCCTGGGGGTCGTCCGAGGCATTCTTTGCTGCACCGGGTGCGGGGCTATGCGTGCCGAGCATGCCCGCACGCTCCTGGTCGAGTGTAGGCCCCCGACCACGGCGGGCGAAGGGGCCACCCCCCAAGCGGGTCGGGGGCCTCCCTCCCGGAGCGGGGATGGGAGTTCCCTGCGCTGTGGTGCGGCTGCACGCGGCCAGGCTAGTACCTCGGTTGCCCACTGTTCGTGAGAATCGCAATGCTAAGATCACGAGAGCTACTAGTACCAATACGAATGATAAGTCATGACGATGATGATAACACTGCGAATCATAGTACGAATAATGAGGACAGACATAAGGATGATCGTAGCAGTAATAAGAATGGTAAGATTGAGAATACCAATAGCATTACTATGTATAGTAATACTACGCAGATTAATAAAAATCACCCAGATAATACTACTAGTGTTAATAATACGAACATTACGAATCGTACTATTACGAGCAGTAACAATATTATTATTAATACTACCACGAGTAATGTTAAAAACGAACAATAAGAACACGAATAATAATAACAAGCCAGGAGAAGACCGCAGGGAACGCGGCGACGGCCGAGGAGGCTCCAGCGGAGGAGGCCGCCTCCGAGGAGGCTGCGGCGAAGCCGGCGGAAGAGGCTGCCGAAGAGGCGGCGCCAGCGCTGTCGTCGTGGTCGTCGCCGTCGTCGCCGCCGACGTCGTCGCCGCCGCTGTCGCTACCGTCGTCGTCGCCGCCGCCGCCGCCGCCGTCGCGGCCGCCGTTGTCGCCGCGGGAGGCGCGGCCCAAAGACAGCTTCCGTGCCGCCCCATCCCGATGTGAAGATCGAAGCGGAACGAAAAGACCCCCACTAGGAAATCGGTGTCGGTTCGTATCGCGCATGCGGACGAGACGAGATTGTGCCAGATCCTGGCCTACACATTGTGCTGGCATATCTCTTTTCAGGTCGTTACCCTCGAGGGCCGCCGCGGTGGACTGTCCTGCCGTTGTCACGTGGTCGTTATACTGTTGTCCGTTGTCCTGTAGCTGTCCCGTTGTTCCTTCGCGGTTGCACTGTGCAGTTGCCCCATGATTGCCCTGTGGCTGTGGTTGTCATGTGGTTGCAGTGGTTGTCCTATACTTTGAGTTGGCGTCCCTTGGTTAGGCCAATAGCGAGATAAGCAGCTAGCTACTGAGCTTAAAGAGGTATAGCAGATTTTCAGAGCGTACAATAGTTCGAAGAGATAGCTCGACATATACGCTGATGAGCGAATACACCTACAAGACCGACCAAGGTCCAATGAGAATGTTGGGGGTGTGGAGCCAACAACGGGACAACCATAGGGACAACCGTCACCATTCATCGAACACCCTCTAACGGCTGATTGCGTATATGTATATATCTGTATATCATAAGTGCCGAATTCATGTTGTATATATAGACATATGTATATCGAGATTATTACGAGTAGCATTTGTCGATGTTAATACAGGTGCGTGCATATAAGATGTCTTAGTGTAGATATACACATATGAAAATATCGTTCGCCCGATGTATATGTATGACATCCCCCCTAACCATCTACCGATATCACAATCATACATGCCAGCCTCCGTGAACATAGTTCTGTACATATACATGCATATAAACATATATATATGTATGTTTCATGCATTTGCTCTGTGACGATTGTGCTTACGCTCTTATCATATTATGCCGCCTTCTACCCCTGAAGCCTTTCTGTTGTGAAGAGTTCGTGCGTTCTGTGCATTATGTGCGTTCTGTGCGTTGTGTGCGCTGTGTGTGTTCTCCGCGTTCTGCGCGCTCTGTGCGTTGCGTGTGGTGTGTGCGTTGTGTGCGTTGTGTGCGTTGTGTGCGTTGCGTGCGCTGTGCGCTGTGCGTTGTGCGTTGTGCGTTGTGTGTTGTGTGTTGTGTGTTGTGTGTGGTGTGTGGTGTGTGGTGTGTGGTGTGTTGTGTGTTGTGTGTTGTGTGTTGTGTGTTGTGTGTTGCGTGTTGTGTGGTGTGTGTTGTGTGGTGTGCCTTGTGTGTTGTGTGTTGTGTGTGGTGTGTGGTGTGTGGCGTGTGGTGTATTGCGTGTGGTGTGTGGTGTGTGGTGTGTTGTGTGCTGTGTGTTTTGTGTTGTGGTTTGTGTGTTGTGCGTTGTGTGTTGTGTGTTGTGTGTTGTGTGTTGTGTGTTGTGTGGTGTGTGGTGTGTGTTGTGTGTTGTGTGTTGTGTGTTGTGCGTTGTGTGTTGTGTGTTGTGTGCTTTGTGGTGTGTGCTGTGTGTTGTGCGGTGTGTGTTGTGTGCTGTGTGTGTTGTGTGTTGTGTGTTGTGTGTTGTGTGTCGTGTGCTGTGTGTTGTGTGTTGTGTGTTGTGTGTTGTGTCTGTTGCGCGTTGTGCGTTGTGCTGTGTGCGTTGTGCGTTGTGCGGTGTGTGGTGTGTGTGTGCGTTGTGCGTTGTGCGTTGTGCGTTGTGGGCTGGGCGTTGTCCGTTGTGCGTTGTGCGTTGCGCGCTGCGTTGTGCGGTGTTCGTTGCGCGGTGTGCGGTTTGATGTGTGTTGTGTGTTGTGCGTTGTGCGTCGTGCGTTGTGCGTTGTGCGCTGTGTGTTGCGCGGTGCGCGTTGCGCGTTGTGTGCTGTGCGTTGTGTGTTGTGTGCTGTGTGTTGTGTGTTGTGAGGTATGTGGTGTGTGGTGTGTGTTGTGTGTTGTGTGGTGTGTGGTATGTTGTGTGCGGTGTGTGCTGTGTGTTGTGTGGTGTGCGTTGTGCGTTGTGTGTTGTGTGGTAGGTGTTATGTGTTGTGTGTTGTGCGTTGTGCGTTGTGCGTTGTGTGTTGAGTGTTGTGTGTTGTGTGTTGTGTGTTGTGCGTTGCCCGTTGTGTGTTGTGTGTTGTGTGCTGTGTGTTGTGCGTTGTGTGATGTGTGTTGTGTGTTGTGTGTCGTGTGTTGTGTGTTGTGTGTTTTGTGCTGTGCGTTGTGTGCTGTGTGTTGTGTGCTGTGTGTTGCGCGATGTGCGTTGTGCGTTGTGCTTTGTGCGTTGTGCGTTGTGCGTTGTGCGTTGTGATTTGTGCGTTGCGCGTTGTGTGTTGTGTGGTGTGCGCTCCGCGTTGTGCGTTGTGCGTTCTGCGTTGTGCGCTGTGCGTTGTGCGCGTTGTGCACCTTGCGTGCGTTGTGCGCGTTGTGCGCGTTGTGCGCGTTGCGCGCGTTGTGCGCGCTGTGCGCGTTGTTTGCGTTGAGTGCGTTGTGTGCGGTGTGTGCGTTGTGTGCGTTGTGTGCGGTGCGTGCGTGCGTTGTGCGTTTTGCGTTTTTGTGCGTTGCGCGTTGTGCGTAATACGTTGTGCGTTGCGCGTTGTGCGTTGTGGTGTGTGTGTTGTGTGTGTTGTGTGTGTTGTGTGTTGTGCGTTGTGTGCTGTGTGGTGTGTGAGTTGTGCTGTGTGTTGCGTGTTGTGCGTTGTGTGTTGTGTGTTGTGCGGTGTGTGTTGGGTGTTGCGTGTTGTCTGGTGTGTGTTGTGTGGGTTGTGTTGTGTGTTGTGTGTTGGCGTGAGGGCGTGGTGTGTGATGTGCGTTGTGTGTTGTGTGCTGTGTGTTGTGTGTGTTGTGTGTTGGGTGTTGGGTGTTGGGTGTTGTGTGTTGTGCGCTGCGTCGTATGCGCTGTGTGTTGTGCGTTGCGTGTTGTGTGATGTGTGTTGTGTGTGTTGTGTGTTGTGCGTTGTGTGATGAGTGTTGTGTGTTGTGTGTTGCGTGTTGTGCGGTATGTCTTGTGTGTTGTGCTTTATGTGGTGTGTGTTGCGTGTTGTGTGTTGTGTGTTGTGTGGTGTATGTTGTGTGTTGTGTGTTGTGGGTTGTGGATTGTGGGTTGTGCGTTGTGCGTTGCGCGTTGTGTGTTGTGTGTTGTGCGTTGTGTGTTGTGTGTTGCGTGTTGCGTGTTGTGTGTTGCGAGTTGTGTGTTGCGTGTTGTGTGTTGTGCGTTGTGCGTTGTGCGTTGCGCGTTGTGTGTTGTGCGTTGTGCGGTGTGCGTCGTGCGTTGTGCGTTGTACTTTGTGCGTTGTTCGTTGTGCGTTGTGCGTTGTGCGTTGTGTGTTGTGCGTTGTGCGTTGTGCGTTGTGCGTTGTGCGCGTTCTGCGCGTTGTTCGCGTTGTGTGCGTTGCGCGCGTTGTGCTCGTTGTGCGCGTTGTGTGCGTTGTGTGCGTTGTGTGCGTTGTGTGCGTTGTGTGCGTCGTGTGCGTTGTGTGCGTTGTGTGCGTTGTGTGCGTGCGTTGTACGTTGTGCGTTGGGCGTTGGGCGTTGGGCGTTGCGCGTTGTGCGTTGTGCGTTGTGTGTTGTGTGTTGTGTGTTGTGTGTTGTGTGTTGTGTGTTGTGCGTTGTGTGCGTTGTGTGCGTTATGGGCGGTGTGTGTTGTGTGTTGTGTGTTGTGTTTTGTGTGTTGTGTGTTGTGTGTTGTGCGTTGTGCGTCGCGCGTTGTGTGTTGTGTGCTGTGCGTTGTGTGTTGTGTGTTGTGTGTTGTGTGTTGTGTGTTGTGTGTTGCGTGGTGTTCGTTGTGTTTTGTGTGTTGTGCCGTGTGTCTTGCGTGCTGTGTCTTGTGTCTTGTGTGCTGTGCGTTGTATGCGTTGTTTGCGTTGTGTGCGTTGTGTGTTGTGTGTTGTGTGTTCTGCGGTGTGCGTTGTGTGTTGTGTGGTGTGCTTTGTGTGTTGTGTGTTGTGTGTTGTGTGTTGTGCGTTGTGTGTTGTGTGTTGTGTGTTGTTTGTTGTGTGTTGTGTGTTGTGTGTTGTGTGTTGTGCGTTGTGTGTTGTGTGCTGTGTGTGTGTGTCTGTGTGTGTTTGTGTGTTTGCGTGTCTGTGTGTCAGTGTGCTTTTGTGTCTGCTTGTCTGTGCGTCTGCGCGCGTGCGCGCGCGCGTGTGCGCGCGTGCGCGGGAGGGGCGGGGGCGGGGCCACGGCGCGGAGGCAGCGGCCGGAGACGAGCCTGCCGGGGGCTGATCGACGAGGGCCTCTGACCAGCGGGCTCCTTCGGGCGGCGCAGCCGAGCCCAGTGGCTGTCGGCGCCGCGGCCGAGACTTGGGTGGCCTGGGGAGCCTGGGCTCGCGCGTCGGAGGGTTGCTGCCCTCTCTCCCTCCCCTCCCTCCTGCGCCTCATCCTGGGCACGTTCGTCTTTTTCTCCTCCCCTTCCTCCTCCTCCTTCTCCTCCTCCTCCTCCTCCTCCTTCTCCTTCCCCTCCTCCTCCTCCTCCTCCTTCTCCTCCTCCTCCTTTTCCTCCTCATCGTCCTCCTCTTCCTCGTCCACCACCTCCACCTCCTCCTCCACCTCCTTCGTTTGGGCTCAAGGGGCCTGCTGCTTAATTTCAACCTCGTTGAAACAGGATCAGCAGCGCCCAGTTTTCTTTTCGGCACCGCGTCCGAGGACACTCCCAAGAGTTCGGCCGCGGGCCTTTTCATAACCTGTTCTAGTTTCTCATTGGAGTATCACTTCCTCCGTGGCGGGCTCTCGCACCGACAGCGGATCTGGTGAGCGGCGTCACGGCGGCAGCCGCAGTAATCGAGACGTGATCGGCAGAAAGAGCGAGAGAAAGAGAGAGAGATAGGAAATAAGAGAGAGCCTTCCGCAGGCGACGAGGGCAGCCCCTCGCCAGCCGCTGCTGCATGACCCGTGGCAGGACAACATGGCACGGCGCTGGACTTCGCACCCCTGACGCATGGCAAGATTACCTCGATCAAGCCCCTGCCTCCAGCAGTCTGGAGCACTCTGGCGGTGTGCCCGGTGAAGGAGATCCCCCAGGCTCCAGACCACCCAGCGATGGCTCAGGGCAGCTACGGGCCATCATGGACCGGGCCCTGCGAGAGACTCAACCGTAGCTCAAGGAGATATTCGCCAAGGATTGCGCTGCCGCCATGGAACATGCCCAATCAGCCATCATCACACACATCAGTACGGTCGCCTCCCAGCTGACCGCCCGAATCGGCGGCCACGCAAAGGAGATCGGCGAACTACAGCGGCAACAGCCAGCGAGACGCTGAGGCTGAACAGCAGCGGTCACGAGAGGCAATCCAGCGCATCGAGGTGACCCTCCCAACTGCCGAGGCCCAGCAGCCCGCCGTGGACCTGACCCATCGCGGACTGCGACCGTGAGCCCATCCCGACTCTGTTCTGCATCGGCTGCCAGTGCAACAGCTGCCCCGCAGAGGTCTTTGACTCAGGCCAAGCCAGTCGGCGGCGAGCCCAGGGGGGAGGTGAGAAGGAGAAGGCCTTCTCAAAAGGCTCGGAAGCCACCCGGCCTGGTGAGAAGTGTTTCAAAGCCTTCCCCGAAGACGCAGAACATTGCTCAGAAGGTGCGGGGGCTTCTGAGAAGCCCCGCCGCCTTTGAGAAGGCCTTCTCCTCCTCCTCCTCCTCCTCCTCCTCCTCCTCCTCCTCCTCCTCCTCCTCCTCCTCCTCCTCCTCCTCCTCATCCCCCCCCCTCCTCCTCCCCCTCCTCCTCCTCCTCCTCATCCCCCCCCCTCCTCCTCCCCCTCCTCCTCCTCCTCCTCCTCCTCCTCCTCCTCCTCCTCCTCCAGCGCCAGCTGGCCCGAGCTGCGGTTCCGCCAGCCCCCCGCGCCCCTCCCTCGCCCTGCCCCTGCCGCGGGACGGAGCGGCCCCCGCGGCGTGCTCCGAGGTCCGCGGCCGCGCGGCGAGCGCAGTACCGCAGGGCGGCAGCGCGCGTGGCTGCGGCGCTGCTGCGGGGTGTCTCGGACCTCGTCGGCCACCGCGGTCGTGAGCCGTCGAGGCCGGCGCAGGCCATGGTGGTGGCCCTGTCCGAACTGGCTGGCCCCAACGCGGAGGTTCAGGAGGAGCGTTCCTCCTGCTGTGTTGCCGCTGCCCCGATGGCGTCGCTTGGTGATGCCGACGACGTCCTGCCAGCCTGTCCTCCGCTCGGACCCGCTGCTAGCGTTTCTGCTCGCGACGCTCGTGATGTCGTTCGTGAAGGAGGTAAAGGTGTTGTTGATGATGAAATTGGCGGTGGTGGCCAAGAGCTCTCGTCCGCGCTGGGCGTTCCTCCTGCTGTTTTTGATGTGCCCCACGGCCGTGAAGGTGAAGCAGCAGCCCTTGCTCTTGGCGGGCTGTTCAACTCGAGCATCACGGCTGACCTCGTGAACGCCGCCATGTTGGCCTGGGCGGCAGACCCCACGTTCGAGCAGCAGGTCGTCGCAGCTGTGGCGGCTGCTCGGCGGGTGCGCCCTATGCCGCTGGCGGGCGTGGAGCCGCCGAGCGCTTTCGGCGCCTGCGGGAGTCCTTCGCCTCTTTCTCGTTCGTGACGCAGGTGGAGGAGGCGAAGCGCGCACTGGCTGCCCATGCGTTCCCCCTCGTTCACTTGTGCCCTGCCGCTGGCGACCACGTCCTCGAGGAGTTCAAGGAGCTCCTGAGCTTACATGAGGCGCGCGCAGGTGAGGCTGTCTGATCGCCGTGTTGAGGGAGTGGTTTCGGTGGACTTCCCTCGTCTTGAAGGAGGCACGGCCTGGAGGGTAACGCGAGCAGCGCTGCCCCAGGTGATGCTGCAAACCTCTCAGGGAATGGCTACGGTGGGCTTCCCTCGTCTTGAGGGAGGCGCGGCCTGGAGGGTAGCGCGAGCAGCGCAGCCCCAGGTGTTGCCGCACACCTACGTCTCGAGTCTTCGCCACTCGTGCGTGCTCGAGCAAGGTTATGTTTCTCTCTTGGGCTGGTCCCTTTCCGTCTCGACTGTCTTGAGGCGCCGTCTCATTTCATTTCCTCCTCATCCACCCCTCGCTCGCCGCCAAGCCTGGTTCACGGCAGCCGGCATCAGCACACTCCAGGGTCGAGTTCTTTCTTCAGCGACGTGCCCGCACGCTGGCGCCAGCTACAAGTAAAATTAAGTCGGGCATGTCCCTCTACAGGAGGATTTGTAAAACATGATATGGTGATGATGCTCCATGTTTGTGTTGACTATGTCTGCTATGTTTCACCATTTCAAGCGAGGGAAAACCACCCGGACCCGACAACTGGCGTTCAGTAAACGGCCCTGGGCGTCAGCCCTGCCTTGTTTGATTCCTTATTTGGGCGCTTTTACTAAACGATTTCGCGTGTCGGGGTGGTTACTATCGGGGTGGATTGTTCGACCTCCAGTATTGTTTGGCTAGTTATGTTCATTCGTCTTCCAAAGTACTCCCGAAGGGGGGCGTGCCCGCCCTGAAATTACGAGTCCCGCGTAGAGACCCCGAGGCCAACCCTCGGACCACGAGCCCTGGCTCGGAACCTCGGGTCCCCGGCGGACTCGGGACACGCCGAGGCGCCGATACCTAGGGCCAACACGTCCCTCGAATCGTAGGCGAGGGCCATAGGCGAAGCGCACAAACGCATCGACTGCGAGATCCACACCGAGCGGCTCTCACAGCACCTGCAGGCTGCCTGCCCACAGCAGAGCTGGAGAGAAGCTGGGAGGCGAGAGTGCAAGGCAGAATGGATGGAGTGCCCTTGGTGCGAGTCGGAGGTCAGGGACTCCAAGAACGCCGCAAACTCCGATGGAACCCCAGGGCGATTCGACGACTCTCGCAGACCACATCCACCGGGACAGCAGCGAGCGATAGCTCGTGAACGCCTTCCTATGCGGAGGGGGACATACAGTGGACCTGCAGCCCTCGATGGGCCGCATGGCCTGCAATTGAGTCGGGCATGTCCCTGTACAGGAGGAATATTATACAGATGAAAAAAGTATGGTGACGATTTGTCGTGCTCTTTGGGTTATGCTTGGTAATGTTCTGATTATGTTTCATTTTTCTTCCAAAACCTGCAGTCTCCAGCCCGACCCAAACCTGCAATCTCCACGGCCCCTGCGTCGAGCGCCACCCTGATATCTTGGAATGCCCGCGGCCCCCTCTGCGTCCACCACGAACGGCGCCGCCGTCAATGGAAGCCCGTGTCCTGCGTGCGCCGGGTCGCGATCATTACGACTCAAGATATTCATTGTTCGATGGTCTGCTTTCGGCTTGACTACAAGCGAGTCCCCTGCAGCCAAGACGCTGAACGCATATCCCTGCGAAGAAAAGACTTTTTCAAGAATCGAAGCAATGCGGGCGGGGCCCGTCGCATTAAGTGACATCTGCCTGTCAATGTTACAGAGAAGTATCACGTACTCGCTGCGCCGTGCATAGGAGGCCTCGTTAGAGGAACGAAATCGCAAGGCATAAACTGGGACCACCTCTCCAAGGGCACCACCGTCAAGCTACCCAACGCACACAGGTGCACTCTGGATGAAGTTAACTTCAACGACGTCGCCGCTGACTGGGCAGAGTCGCGCGCCTGGGCCAACCAGCATCCCCACGTAATCACAGCGTCACGCCTACTTCGCTGGCATCGGCGGCTTCCACATATGGGGTAAGCGTGTCTACTCCTGCGACACGCCCGCTGCCGCATGGCCGGCCGCCACGCCGAGCACCAGTGCTGACCGCAACGCCAAGACATGGAGACAGCGGTTCTGGGCTACGACGGAACTCCCAGCTGGGGAGCCGACGCGGTGTTCCCAAGCTGCGCGCACGGCTTCCGCGCTCGGCGGGGCCTTCAGCTCTGCCGCTGCACACGGTCTTTTACACAGTGGCAGATCCTGCGAGATTCGCCTGGAGGCCGCCGCGCTCTTCGACGCTCGTCTCATTGATCATGTTCTCGTCGTCCTCCCTCTCTGTCTCTCACTCTCTCCTTCTCTCTCTCTCTCTCTTTCTCGCTCTTTCTCGCTCTTTCTCTCTCTCTCTGTCTCTCTCTCTCTCTCTCCCTCCCTTTCTCGCTATATAAAAGTGTGTGTTGTCTCTGTGTATGTGAACGTGTTGGTATATTCGGAGCCTCGGGGATAGCCCTTGTTCCCTGCGGCTGCCGACCATCATCGGCATCTTCGCTTCCCGATGTGAATTGCTCTGGTCACGTGCAGCAGACGGGATGTTGCAGCTCTGGATGCCGATCCCGCGAAGCGTCTGCGCGATGTGTATTTGACAGCCTCGCAGGACGGGGAACCAGATTCCGAAAGGTGAGTCTACCGAGGGGACGTGGAGTGGCGAGGCGACATGACCCTCGATGGCATCCGGGCCGCAGATGGCAGCAGGTTGGCGTGGTAATACATATAGCATGTTGACGTGGTCATACATATGGGTCGCCCCTGC